GCTACCAAAAACCCTCAGTGAGCCACTTTTTTTCCACATTTGAAGCACATATTAATGCGTAGTTACTTTTAAAATGTGGTTTTTTTAGTTGTCTTACAAGTAACTTGTGAATGGTGCAGTTTGAAGCGTCACTGCGGGATACCCGGTGTCTGCTCTTACCGTATAAATTCCCATCCTCGGCGGTGGCGGTGACTCTTTTGCCCTGTATCTGGACATGTTTCCCGCTGGTGCGGCTGTAGAGCTGGTAAACTCTGACCTGTCGACGACTGAGCTGATCCGTCAGTGCGCCCTGCGTCCTCACATACTGGTTAAAATTAGGAGACGGGTGATTCTCCCCCTTTTTTTTTTTAAATGCGAAGGGGAAAATGAAATACATAATTGTGTCTCTCTATAGTCTGGGATAGATTGTAATACCACTGTTGTAACCCACAAAAAAAAAAGCGGCCACAGCCAACAAACTGGACAGATTTTGACAAAATTTTGAACCCCAACATAAAAATATCTGCTACAGGTAGCTGATTACAAATGGATATGCTCTTTTTAACAATCTTTACTGGTGTTGTAGGAATGTTTTCTTACCTGGGTGTGACAGCACAGCACAAAAAAATGAAACGATCTGCAAAAAAAAACAACAATTAAATGCGTTAACTGTGGGGTTCGTTTGCGCAAAATACGGGTTACGCGCACTTTCCGTGCCCTGTCAGTCGACTTACAAGTAAAAGCAGCGCTGGTTTATGCCATACATTTTACTGTTTACTATTTCATCCGATCTGAAGAGAGTTTCTTGAGGCGGACAGATGCCGCGAGGATGCGCTGAAAATAATCCACCGATTCAAAGTGCGGTGTGTCCATCCAAGCCAACAAAGAGCGCAGCGGCCAATCTCCTGCCTCTGTCATTTGTTAGGAACGGGATCCAGGTGAATGCGCGCTGGGGAGTTCTTCATATCCGCGCAAAACGTGGATGTCGGAATCACCCATAACGGAAAAGTTGGCCTTTTTACATCACCGGGGGCTGAAAAAGCGCGCAGCGTCGGGTAGATGTCGGAGTCAAATTCCGGCTTTAAAAAAAAAAAGAAAACTCCTCTGTGTCACTCTGGATGCTCTGTGGATTAATGTTAAAAGGCAAAAGTCCCTCCCAGAAATCTTTTCTGTCGAGGGTTGGCTATCGAAGGACCCACAGGACTGGGACGTCGACTTAACGGGGGAGACGTTCACGGAAAATACGAACAAAAAGGGGGGTAAAAAAAAAAGAAATCCTTCAGTCTGTTTTAGGGCCGTAGGAGCCTAGTTGCCTCACCGATCTCTCTGGTTTGATGTAGACTTTTATGGTAGGCTTTTACTAAAAGTGTGGAGCCTAATGGCACCTTCTGGGTGTGGCGATTAGTTACTAATGAAACTGTTGCGACCCCCACTTACTTCTCCTTTTATCTTAGGTGACACTCTCAAGTCAGCTGAGTGAGCCCAAATAAAACCAAAGAGGCCATGTCTAATTTAATTTAATAACGTCAACGATGAACTGGACACCGTCTTTCCTTTTTAAATGCCAACTTTTACGCACGAGTGGAGGAGATAATCTCTCATCTCCGCGCTAATGTGCCTATAAAGTGCTCGTAATGAAGTAGTTGCTGGGCCCAGATGAGGTATAGATTGCGATCAACAGCATCACATGAAGCTTCAAAGGACTTTCATCTTGCCCTTCTCACGTTCTCTTCACCCCCCCCACCACTCCTACCCCTGTCAGGAGCAATAAAATGGTTCTTAGGCAGCTCCAACTGCTTTCAGCAAGCAGAAACCAGCAGCTACTGATTTAACTTGTTTATGTCAACAATTAGTCACAGTTAGTCCATCATTAATATTCCTCTAGTGTAAAAACAATCAGAAGTGTTTTAAATAGAAATTTGGGGTGAGTTATTTGTGTGCTTCCGTCATGAAACCGGCTTATATGTTTGTTAACTTGCATCTGTAACATTATATTTGATAGGCAACAAAAAAAACTTACAAAAATGGATAAATATCAGATTTACATCTTAATGACTGAATAGTAAATCAACAATTCAGTTACAGAGGTGTCTAAATGAACTTAAATGAACCATTCCATACATGAATTATGATCATTTCAGGCAGGATTTTTTCTTTAATTAAAGCATAAAAAGTTGATTTTCTTTTGTTAAAATGCTTTCTTTTGAGGATTTTTCCATCTCCCAGTAGATATTTCTTGCTAATGGAAAACTGTGTCTTACAATATTTTGACATTTGTTAACAGAATGCGTAAATAGAATTTAGCATTCAACTCTCATCCTTCCCCAATATTGACTAATATCTCATCCTTTTTTCAATTCCCGCTTATTCAAATTTATTTTAGTATATATCGGCTCCTCTTAAACAGTATATTATTGTGGATATTTTTTCATTTGTATTAAATTATGTATCAGTGGCCTGTTCGCATGAGCACTTAAAATGGCTTTTAAGTAGCCGTCCACTGTAGTGACCGCTATGCATGACATGGTTAATACTAGGGAGGAAATTCTGAATCAATTTTGAATGAGAAGCAGCCCAGAGACAACTTGCATCTCAAAAGCACTGACCTCGACATTTGGGACTGTATAAAGAGAAGATAATGTGTGCTATGAAGCAACTGGTGGTCATGCTGAATTTATATGAATTTCACGTGGAAACAACTTTCCACAATGTACTTTGCACAGTGAAATTGAAGACTAATTTACCTATAAGTTAAGGATATGTTAAGGTTTGTGTATGCTTTGGGAGGAGATATTTCATGGGGTGATGTTTGGGGGTTTGATACAAGCTTGCAAAAGCATTTCGTTAGTTCATTGAAACTAATCTGGAATAAAAACATTTTTCTTTATTTTTCTATATTTTTCACTACACACAAAAAATGAAAGAACTCATTATAAGACCTTGATTATAATCTTGATTATCATTAGGGTTTGTTGTTTTTTCAAACTGGCTTCCAATTACTCTACTTACCTTTTCATCTGAGGGACACTTTAGATCAAACAAAGGACTGCAATATGTTCTATAATATGGTTTAAAGACCTGATAACAAGACAAAAATAAACGTGGTGTTTGTTTAAGTCTGGCAGCCAGTGAGAACATTTGGCTTGTGTTTGTGATGTCTTTAAAATCTAATAATTGGTTCTTTCTTCTTTAGGAAATTAGTTTTTTATCAATTTGTTCAATGATTTGGTGTAATTTCTTGACAAATTTGTTAAAAAGTACTGATTTAAAACAGATTTTAGCAACCTGAAAGTAGTGTATCATTTAAATACATATTTTACTAAAAGTATATGCTAACTATATACGTTAGATTCTGCAATTTACTAAATAATTCAACTGAATTCAAGATCATGGTTGTGAAGAATTCACAGGATTCTTTAAAAAAAAATGTATGTGGTGTCATGGATTTCCATGGAAAAATGTTTGCATGACCTTCAGTTATCTCAGATCTCTGGCTATGTTTTGTTGACAGCAAGATCATTTGGTAACGAGATACAGAAAGTAGCCAAAGGATTTTTATTTTTTAATGGAGCAGAAGCTATGAAGCTTCTGCTTTTTTTTTACTGTGATGCTAGTTTTCGTCTAACAAGTGATCAATTCAGGATTGAATATGGACAAAATTAAAAGTTTGTGAAGTAACGTAGTGGACTTATTTAAAGTTAGAATTAATCTTAGAAATAAAAGAACAAAGTTTCCCATCAGAGAGTGTTGTATGATAAGATCTTTGTGTGAAAACGCAAACATTCTACCCTTGTACAGTGGATGTTGACGTGTTCTGCATATTTTCCTCTCTTTTTGGAAACGATGTTGGGTATGGCACTCCTCTGGAGAGATCATGGTTAAAGCACAATGTCTTTTTCTAATTTATTAAAAATGTTAACATAACACAACCATGTGGTAACAGATTGCGACATCCAAACAAGAGAGAAACCGAAAACTGAAACGTCTTTCATTGACCAGGTGAGAAAGATTGAATCACCACAATCTATTTCTCTATAATGTGCCATAGGGCCCCATTCCACCAGCACAGACTCCGCACAGCTCCACTCCATTATTTCCCCCCCATTTCCATTAGGTGTTAGCACATCCTAAGAGTTCAAATGTTTATTTAGCACCTACTCAGCCAAACTAACTTCAGACTACAGACAAATGATTGAGGGAGTCACTGACTGGATACGTTCTAAAAGCGACTGCTTCACATGATCCAGGCTTATTTCTAAAACATGCACGTTAGCGTTTTGAAAAATAGATGGGTTGAAACCCTATTACAATGCCCTAATAACCTGGACACAAGGACAGTAGAAATTAGATGGCAACAGGACTCTTAGAACCTTCCATGAAGGCTAGTTTAAATCAATTTGCATAAGATGAAATCAAACACAGAATCTACAAAGAAGATGCTCCATCCCCGCTGCTGTTCTGCATATTTCCACAGAGTGACCATAAATACCAGTTCCAAATGGAGCAACAATGAGCAACCTCCTCCACATGAACAACATGAAAGCCAACACTGAAAGATTCAATCAATGATACACCCCATTCAGATGCAGTACAAAGATATTGGAACGTCGTTCAGACTTGATTAAAAGCTGATGATGAGTGAAGGAATGGAACCATCATAGGGCGCCATGGCAGATATTCAGGACTGCGACAAAAACCTTGGGATCCAATGTCACTTAGTACATACATAATGTGAAAAGTCAACCGAATGGGAAGAACCCATTCTGAGCCACATGCTTCGCCACTCATCCGATATCCCGCTGGTATGATAGCCTAGCCAAAGCAACAGCGATAAGCCATTGATAACATACAAGAAACGCAGGGTTTTTCACCAAGTTCAGCATCTCTAGATTTGACACTGAACGGAACGAGGGAGGCCAATGAGTGAGAGAGCCACCATCCAGGATGGGGTAACAAAGATCAAGGAATACATCTGAAAGAAATGTCCGAAGTAGGCCCCAAGGGGAAATTGGACTACGAAGACATTGTGGTGGTCGATAAACTGTAGAAACAAGCAGCAGAGGCAGTAACATGAAGAATAAGGACCATGAGATTTTTGAAAAATACCAAGGCCTGGAGGGTGACGTTGAGAAGATGTGGGAATTGAAGGTAGCACTGGTACTAGTTGTACTTGGAGAACTGGGGGCTATGACCCCGAAACTGGGAGATTCGCTCCAACAGATATCGGTGTTCTCTGTCCAGAAAACTGCTCTTAGAACTGCTTAGATCCTGTATAGGTCCGTCAATGTCAAGCTTTTGTTTATA